AATATTGATTGTTTGACTCTGACTTAGATTAAAATCAGATTTTAATCCGACCCAAACATGCCTTAAATTTGTAATGTATGATTACTACCTAGATTTCACTTGTTAGTCGCAAACGCTCCATATAAATATTCAACAAGTACGGAATCAGTACTTATATCAATAGCTCATAACATCGGATCAACCATAAACAAATTATCATTTCATTTGGTTAAATGATTGTGTTGTACATTATGATCTTGGTACCGAATCGCCATCTTCGTTTTTTCTTTTGAATTTTAATCTCGAGAAAAAAATAATGTATTTGCCTCTGAAATGGAATATTTAATTTCTTAGTGGCAACTTTTGACTGCTTATTTATCATGATAAGACGTCATGTTCATATCTGGACAATAATTAATGAATGAAGCTAGAGTGCATCCCTTATATTTTCCTTTTAAAATTGATGATGGTGTGCGGGCCATCCGACAAGTTTATGCTTTTCCTTTATGTAGATGTGTTTAACGAGGAAGTTGTCTTATAACTCGTTTGGAGGGTGTTTGGTGGAGATTAAAATTAGATTTTTAGTGGATTGTGATATAAGTTTTTGAAATGTGTGGTTGAAAAGATGTGAGACCCATGACAAATGTGGTTAATATTGATTGTTTGACTTTGACTTAAATTAAAATCAAATTTTAATTCGACCCAAACAGGTCCTTGACAAGCTTTTGTTTCTGTTTTTTGTATAGAAGAGTTTCATGAAAAAATTATATTAAACCAACTTACTTTAAAATTTTTCTCCCAAACAAAATATTTCCAAAAAATTATTCAAATATGTTCAAAAGTGACTTTTTAATTTCAGAAGCGACTTTCAACTTTTCGAAAGTTCTGTCAAACGAGCCCTAATGTCAGTTTTCTCTAAAAAAAAAAAAAACTATTTTAGCCGGACAATATTTTCTAAAAATTATTCAAAGATGTTAAAAGTAACTTCTTAATTTTATTATAAGCATCTTTTTTACTTTTTAAAACCTTGACAAACGAGCCTTTCTAAAAATTATCCAAACATGTTAAAAGTAACTTCTTAATTTTATCATAAGCAGCTTTTTTTAAAAAAAACTTGACAAACAAGCCTTAATTTATCTAATTAAACCGTTTTATATGACCTTAAATGCCACATTGGTTATACCTAACTTAACAGAGTTCAATACAGACCTCAACTTATCAAAATTATTCATTGGCTTATATTACAACTTATCAATGTTCTTATCATTTCCCACTATTTCTTCTCTCTCTCTCTCTCTCTCTCTCTCTAGTAGGAGAACTCCAGTAAACATACACAGTGTTCCTTTCACTCTCTACAGAAAAAGCCAGTTGTCCTCCCTCTCTCCTCATTCATTCAAGGTACAAACCCTTCTCTCTCTCTAAATATATATACACTTTCACACATGTATATATATGCAAACAAAGATAGGCGTGCAGAAATACACGCAGATAGGATCATAGGAAGCTTGCATGCATGGTGTATGTCGTCTTTGGAAAACTGTGGAATTGAGCTTTCAGCTTTGTGGATTTTCATTTCTTTTTGGCAGGTTGGTTATTGAGGGGAAGCGAGCATGTCGTCTTTCGAAAAAGAAATGTTGTTTTTGATACTTCAGTTTCTTGATAAAAAAAATCTCACAAGAACTGTTCACGAGTAAGGATTTAATTTTTAATATCTAACTTTATTTTTTGGGATTTTTTAGCGTTTTGATTGTTAAGAAAATGGGGAAATTAATTATTAATTTTAGATGAAAACAGTTGGGTTAGATAAATTCAGACCGTTTTTCTATATTTTATTTTACTTTCATTCGCTTTTTATTTTATTTTTTGTAATTTTTAGTTGTTCTGATTGCTGAGAAATAGGGGGAAATTAATAATTACATTTAGATTAATAGATTCTTTTTAGGATCAATAATTAATTCACCAAAGAAACATGGGTGTTCAAAAATTGAAGATTTCTGTATAATAATTATGTTTTTTTGGTTGAATATTGTTGATGTAATGGTTGAGTTCTTTGTGGTGATTTAAGATTGGAACGAGAATCAGGAATCTTCTTCAGTATGCCATATTTCGAGGACAGGGTAACTAATGGGGATTGGGATCGATGAGGTGGAAAATTACTTATCTGGGTTCACATGGCCTGATGAGAACGCAATTTCCAAGAAAATCTTCTATGCGATCCGAGAACACAAGTATATGGAGGTCCTGGACAGGTTAGATTGTTTCTTGATCTCATTGAATATTTTGTCAGTTTTGTGTTCGTATTCGTATTCTCATGAATGCATATGATTTTGAATGCATAATTGTAGGAAGGATCGGGCTAAAGCCTTTGACATTTTAATGATGGACTTAAAACAAATTTCAGTTGATAATGAAGAGCGTTTTGAATATTTAACTCGGCTTTTCTTCCTTGAAAACATCAGGTGAGAGAGTAGTCATACTTGATTGGAGAGTTTGCATTTATTTATTTTCAAGAATATTGATTTGATACAATGACATGCAGAGAGGATAAGGAAGTATCCAAGCACGGAGACCTAATCAATGCTAGGGGCGAAATGCTTGCTCATGTTAAGAAGCTTATAGAAGAAAATCCCATGTTCCGTGATAAGCTGATATTCCCCGCCTTCGATCCCTCAAAATTAGGGACACTAAGGTTTATTTCTTCACTATTGGTAATATCAGCATTTTCTTTCAGGTTGAGATAAACATCGGCATTTTCCTCTGCTGTGTTGGCCTGCAGTTTGAACTTGCAGCACCATTTGGCTGCAGTTTCACCTTCACAGTCCAGTAGTGCTGTTCCAAAGCCTGTGGAATCCCCACCTGTAAGCTAAAATAGGCATTTTCTTTCTTGTTTTAACTATCAAGGGATGTGATATTGACTTTTGTCTTTTTTTGTGAAGCCATTTCAAGATCCATCATCTCCTCCCCAACCTTCAGCAAGTTATTCATCCTCAGTTCCTCACCCTTCAGATTCTGCAGGTCCAACTGGTTTAAATACCCAAAACAATTCTGGTATTCATAGATTCTAACTTTTCCATTTACTAAAAATTTGAAAAACATGTCTTGGATTGACATGTTAGTCTGAAGTGTGAAAGTATATGTTGATAAAAGTGGAAGAAGATAGTTCTTTCTCACCTTCCTCCTGTCTATTTGTGACTGGCTCTTAACTCATGACTTGCACCTTTTCACCATGCTAACTTAATTCCTACAACTCCTACAAATAAACCAGCTGTGGACAACCAAAATGATCTCTCTGAACTGGATTCCTCGTATGAAGTAAGGATTTACCATCCTAAATTATTATCATTATTAGCCTCTTTCTAGGAAATGGATACTTTCTTGGTTCTTATAGTTTAAAGCTTTGACATATTGTACACCTTGTTCTCTCATATCGATTTATAGTTTGTGCTCATCTTTGCTGAAACGTTTTATGCATCTTCAGTCTACCCCAATAAGTACATTTGGTGATGTCAATGCTACTACTGTATCGAGCATTAAGGATCGAGTTTCTCCAGTAACATCCACAGATTCAGTGGTATGCTAATGCTTTCAAACTTATAAAATGGATATATCTGTTTCAAAATCTCGGATTAATTTCTTTTGCAAATTGATTGAATAGCATTTTGCATTTTTTTTTTTTAGGTGTGCACAACTTAGGTGCATTGCATAATATTTCATATGATAATAGCTCTTGCCTGCACTACTACGACTTTTTGGTTGACATTATATAATCTTCACATTTGTGATCAATTTCTTGTAGAATGAAGATAGGCAAAATTCGGAAGATGGGAAGCCCAGAGTTGCAGATGGTTCCACCTGGAAATCTAGGTTGCGGAAACTGATAGAAGTGAATAAGCCATCAGAATGTCATGTCCTGAGACTTCCAGATAGTTCAGCGGTGATGAAAGTATTACTTACTCTGCCCTCGATCATTTAAAATGCCTGGATAGATTATTACCTAGATATTGTCCATCGCCACCACTCTCTCATATGCTGTGACATAATGCATAGTTCATACTTTATGTGCATGGTCATGTGGATAGAGAGAAATCAGAAGTGAAATTAGAATAACAATGATTCAACTTCTTAAATTGATTGTTTGGCAATAAAATTTATTCAGCCCCTGTTTGGTTCCCCTTCTTTGAATAGTGTTTTAGGAGAATGTGTGGTTAAAAAATAGGAAAATGTTTTAGGTTTACGTGCATAATATTTTATTGTGTGAATGTATGGTTGAAAATGATCCAGTAGAAAAAAATGTTTGAAAAGAATGGGAATCAAACAGGGGCTCAGTTCCATTTCCAACATTAAAAAATTCATTGTTTTCAAGTTTCAATCAATTCTGTGCTTTGTCAAAGCAACAGGCCACCATTGTAGCTTAAGGTAATGCTAAAAAAATCGCAAGAAAAAGGAAGAAACATTGAAGTTATTAAAATATATTATTGTGTCAATCTTGAAAATTCTTATAGTGAACGCTAATTTTGCTTTAAAACGTTCTTGTTGTTAAACACTTATTTCCGGTTTCTGCTTCTGACTCTCACTCAATGAGGCCATTCTAAATTCCATTCTCACCATTTATCAGGTTCCAAGATTGATGTATACCAATTCAGGATCCGCCATACTGGCTCTATATGTTAATGCTGTACATAAACTGTGGAAATCGCCAGAAAATGACAGTATTTCGATGGGGAAATTCCCCGCCAATCGCATTCAATCCTGTACTGCGAGATTGATGACA